GGGTTGTAAAGTAAAATATTCTAACACTGGGAAATTCTTCCCCTTTGAGGTCATTTACTGTGATATAAGAACTCATTTTGCCTTTCCCATTCAGAGTTAGGTAATGATCCTGTTTACATAATCCTGCAGACAATTTAAGACCTCTTAGTCTGCAATATTTTTGCAGACTTGAGCTGGGATGAAAATGTCAGTGGGTTGGAATGATTTGTGGAATTTGTCTCCATCCACATAATAGATTCCTGCAGATATTAAGAAGCATCTGAGTGAGGGACTACTGCAGTAACAGCAAGGTTTTAGCTGCTGAGGGTACAGTGCATTCCTGGCAGACCAGGAGCAGATGCAGCTGTGAAGCTCCACTAAGGCCAGTGAAAGCTCTCTGGGATAAACTTGTGAAGACCAGGACCCAGTTTCTCCTGTCCTTCTGTAGGTTGTTGGGGACTGAGATCAGATAATTTCCACCTACTTAAAAAAACTGACAAGTCTGCAACTTTACATTTAAAACCAGAAAAAAACTGACTAACTCGGGAAGGTACGATGTTTAACTTCCCAGAGAGGAAGAATGATGCTGACTGGGACTGAAAAGAAAGCCTCTTTGATTCAAAAGGACTACAGAATGATCCTGGATCTAAACCTAAGGACCCTGAGCAGGAGGATTAATACAGGTAGGGTTTCATTATTTTGTTTACCACTACATAAACACCTGCTACTTGAATAAAAATTTATTTTGTCCAGAAATAAACTGCAAAGCCTGTCCTTATACACATAATAACCTACCTCTATCATTTGTCCCTGAAAAGTTAAACTGTAAACCCAGAAAATAAGCCCTGAGAATGGGTTAACTTCAGGGATTAGAAAACTGAATGGACTTTTCCAGCTACCAGAAAAAATTTTCTTGGTAACACCTGTACCAGAGAAATACATGCAGAGATGTTAACCGAGGGCAGTGGCTGTTTGTAAAGAGAAATTTGAGGGCGCATAGAGGTACTAGCACATGATATCTTGAAGAGGCTGCAGGGTGGTAATTTCTACTAGCGCCATGTCCACATACAGTGAGAAAGAAAGAAACACTGTTTGTCTCCTTTTCATCTTTCCAAAAGTACTTCCATGGGGAGTGTGTAACATGCAATTTACACTAGGTTTTGATTTCTCTTAGGCGATACATTTGCACAAGAACGCATAACATATACATGGGTTTATCATTCTTTCTATGTACTTGTGTCCTATAGGTGATCAAAAGAAGACAACCACCAAGCCCAGCTCCTTAATAAACATTTCCTCTATTCAAAGCATATCTGCTGTCTCATAAGCTTTGAATTATTTTTGACTTTTTAAGAATAGCAATGGTTATACCATATGGCAAATACAAAGATTCTTCCTTGTTGCTGTTTTAGTTGCTGTTGTTCTCTTTGAACCAAGATTTAAAATAGTTTGTTAAGTCAGTACTGCCCACTGCTAGTAGAACCAGCAGTTCTTCCTGTATTAGGCAGAGTGTTCTGAACCTCTTCAAACTGATCCTCTGACCAGGATTTTTGGTATAACCCGTGTTCTAATATTCTGTACTTACCTCATGAACTCATTTCCTACGTAATTTCCTATAATGTCTTTTTTTTTTCTTTTTTTTTCTTTCTGCTTCTTACCAACAGCAGGAAAATCAGAGGAATAATAAAATAATAATAATTCCAGCACAACTGACAGAGTCAGTTTGAGAACTGGATGCAGCTGACATCTAAGCCCTAGAAATTGGCTATTTGTCTGTCATACTTATTTTATTCTTTCTTGGCCTGAACAAAATTTCATTGATTTTCAAAGGGGGAATTGTGCTCAAAAAAAGTTTCTGCTATGAATCGACAGGGAGCAATGAATAAATTTTTTATTTTTTTTTTGCATGTGCATCGAGAGGAAGATGGGAAAAATTAGGCATTAAAAATCTGTAATTAGGCAGTTAAGTGTCAGTCCAAAATCTGTTAAACATACTGTAAAATTAAATTAAAAATTGCAAGATCATTTCAGGGAAATTCTAACAGTCAAGTTTTACAGTGTCAAAAAGTTAAATTTGATTTTTAAATCAGGCAAATCATTAGGGGAAAGCACTATCACTGGTGTTTAAACAAGGTGTAGAAATGTTGCCTATAATGTGAGATTATCCCATAAGAAAGACTCACAAGAAGGACTGTTCTCATCCCTGACTATAGCAAGGGGAGCGTGTGGAGTTTAGTGTAACTGAGGCTCCCTGCTGCCTGCTGGGGATCCCAGTCACCTCTCTGCTAATACAGCTGCAGATGATCCCTGTGTGGAGCCTATGCTTCCTGCCTTGTCCTGCACTGCCATGCACTTGTTTTCCTCACGGTGCTGAAACAGGACAGAACACTTACCAAGTTGAGGTGTGATGTGTCTGTGCCCAATGAATTCATGGGAGCTGCAGGGTGCGATACGTAACATGGTGTGGGACCTCTTCCCAGGTGGGCTTCATGGGGATGGGGGTACGGGGAAGAATGCCAGAAGATGGCAGATAATGCAGGTGTTCAGCACACACATTCCTAGCTCTGAGAAACCGTCTAGAGAGCACACTGGGCACAGTTCACACAGAGTACCTGAGGAAAGAAACCTGCGTCCCTCCTCAGAAAAAAGCAATAGAAAGAGATTTTGTAAGGCTAGGTGACTCTCAGACCTGTCTTGATGACACAACTAGGAAGGCAATGCACTGTGATGAAAGAAGAGGAAATGACAGTGGGGTTTAGGATGGGGACATCATAAGACAGTGTAAGGGAAGAATAGTCTCATGAATTATCTTCAACTCCATTTTCTCCCTTCAGAATAACATCAGTTCCATATATCTATGAAGCTATTCTGCTTGAAAGCCAAATACCATGTTCTCCAGCACAGTTTCAGATGGTTGCCAGAGAAGGACTTTTTGTCCAGTTAGAGAAAACACTACATTTGAAAATATTCCCTTTGAAAATCAAGTAACAGATATTCGTTGAGGCTGGTTTCCTAGAGCAGCCATCAGTTTCCAGGCACAAAAGCTCTCTTAGGATTCCAAATTCCACACTCACTCTCTTTTCGTTCTCTGTCTAAATATATGGAGATAAAATAGTGCACAGTGTATTAGGCAGAATCTGCTTCACCAGTGACGTTAAGACCAGGAACATATGTGATGTAGAAGCACTGGAAGATGACCAGCTGTGCTCTCAGTCTGTTCAGCCTGTTGATAGGACTAAACCGTCAGCTCTAGGCATTCTGGGATTCAGGTTATAATGTAATAAGATATGTGGAAGAAAATGAAATATGAAATTGGATAATGCATTTAATTTACTGTACTAATAGGCAACAGTCTAGTTATGATGTTGCCAAACAAGCATATTTAATATTTTGCTATGGTGAGTTATTATGGGAGTAAATTAATTTTCAGAGAACAGTGGCATTTGGGGAGGAGGAACAAAAACGTAGAAGTCAAAGTCTGCTGCTTTTTATCACTTTTAAGGCAAACTAGGTATCTAGAAATGTGTCAGAACAGACAAACTCATATTATTTTTCCATAAGAAGCCATGCCAGTTTTGCCCCTTTCTTTTATCTTAAGTAGATTACTGTCATCACCATTCTTGCCAACAAGCAGACTCATTGGAATATTTTTCAAAAATGAACACAAATATTGGATGCAAACAGGTGGAATGAATTAATTTCAAGCATATGGTTCTAACATAACGATTTCTGCAGTGCACTGTCGAGACATTTAGGGGTCTAACTATCACACATTTTGGCAACAAAGCTGCTTTAAGAAATTATCAGTTACACAGCTATAGATGTGAAGCCAGACTTACTGATGTGATCCAGACTGAACATCCTGCCACACACACACATACAAACATGCATTTGTAGGGCAGTTTTTAGCTCTAAGACATGGCAATGATGTGGTTTACACTGTTCTCCCAGTTGTGTTAGCACAACTGAAAACAGTGTCAAACAAACACAGCAGACAGGGACTGGGAGCATCTACAGGGAAATGGTGCTTCTTAGGCCAGCTTCACACAGTACGTTGTATAGCTGTACTGTGCACCCTACAATACCCTATAGTGACTGCACTTCCAGGCTGCAAGTCCTTTTTTGGTAGAGCAAAGAGGTTTCTGGCTTACATTCATCCTGGGCTAATTTTCAGTCATCTCCTTTACTATTGGAAGTTATTATTCCTTTATTTGGTGGAAGCAATCTCTAAAAATAGACTACCAAAAAGGGCTGAATTAGAGAAAGACAGCTGGAAAACTATCTTAGATAAATAAATAGGTCTCAGAAAAATATTATGTTTTTATATTGATACATTTTCACATGAGAACACCCATTTTTTTCCTCAGTTATTTTAAAATGTAGTAAAGCTACAAATATCCTGATGTTCAGGTTGTTATTCATTATATTGTGTTTTACTAAATTAACCAGAAATGCAACATTTTTTAAGATGCCTTTGTAGTAGGTGGAATCAGAAATCAATTGAAAATAGCAGATTTACACAATCCAATCTAAATTCAGATATGATTTTGTGCCATTATTTTGTTTAAAAAGTGTTTGCTTGTCTTTTCAGTGCACATTTATGATTATCTAAGAGCTCCATTTTTGAAAGCCTACTGTGAGGTCAGCACTTTGTAAAAACAGACTCTCTTCCTGAAGGGCTCAAATACAGCCTCACATAGGAATTTATTTCTGTGAATACTGCTTTTTTAATCAGTCTTTACATTCACATTCTTTTTTTGTATCTCAAGCCCTGCAGAATGGCCAAATATGACACCTCATAGCTGCCATAGACAGACAAGAAGCAATCATAACATTAGAGATCAATGCAAATACTTTTTTTCTTAGCAGAGATTTCACATACAAATTATCAAAATAACTTAGAGCAGACAAAACACCTCAAACCAGTGGCTTTTGTATAATCCAGCAGATGGTGCTATGACGCAATAAACTGATTTAAGAACACAAGAAATATACTGAATATGAACATTTTACTCCTTTACCTGGTGCTGCTGGTTTTTCGGTGGCTGGTTTGGCTGCAGGAGCTTTTGCTGGCTCTTGAAAAAAGAGAGCAAATTAAATCAATTACTATGGATTGTAATATTTAAAAACAAATAAACAAACAAAAATTCAAACAGAAATCTGAGGGAAGGCTTCCAACGAGGTTCAGTCTGTAGCATTTTTTATATTGAAGAGCTAGACAAAGGTATTTCCCAAAAAGAAAAGAGCTGAGTTGCTTTCAATAAGCTCAAAGGCATCAACAAAACAGCCATCTGAAGGAATAACAAACTCTTGCCATTGGGCACAGAATAATTTCTTTTAGCCTTTTTTGTCCAGTAATTCACTACCTACTGGCAAAGCAGAGCAAAGCAGGTATCTAGGGGTTTGGGCATGGCCATGCTGCTCAAGCAGCAGCTGTGGTCTGGGAGCATTTGCATTTGATTTTATGAGAGCAGAAGGTCCTTAACCAGCCTATGGCAACAATTTCATGTGTGATCCTGCACTTGAAAGAGCAGCTGCTGAGTTCTCCTAGCAGAGAAGAAGGACTTTTCAGGCTCCTAAACTGTTTCATCTGTTCTTGATCTTTTCATTTACACTACCTTCTCTTTGCTGAGACAGTACATTTCCTTGCAGAATGAAGCTCCAAATGATAAAGGGTATGTGCACCCCCAAAGGGACTTGAAGAATCTCAGTCCTGGTTAGAAGAACCTAACCAGCTTACTGGATTTCTTTACTCTTTACTAGTGTTTAGTTAACTGCTTTGATCTTCAGCAACTACCAAAATAGACCATATTTAAATCACAATAATTTAACAAATACCCGTATGCTAAACTCCATTGACTTTCATAACTGATTTCTTATATCAGCTAGAAGATCCTCTAACTCACAATTCACCTTTCCATATTTGAGAGGAAATAATTAATCATTTTAATCACAACCTGAATTCCAGAATACCACAAATATGTTAGCAAATCCTTCACATCTGTCACTGCACTATTGCAAAGAAAAATGATATGGCTAAATCGGGAATGTAATTTTGATTTCTTCACCTCCAGTCTTTTGAGAAATTCATAAAAGATGAATCAGATTGTCTTCTGGAACAAAATGAAAACAAAATATATTTTGCATGTGTGGGATTGTTTTGTTTCCATCCATTTGAAAGCTTACAGCAGACAATTATATCCTAACTTATTATCACAGCATTGTAATTACTTGGGGTGCTCACCTCGACTTCAGGGAAATATGTGGAAGACCTTGAAGTATTTACTTAATGTTACTTTCCTGACTGCCTGCTCTTGCAGAAGAAGCAGGACACCCAACACACGTGTTCTACAAGTGACAAGACGGACTTAATACAAAACTGCAGGACTCCTGCATTTATTTCCTTCTGAGCTGTTGGCTACAGCTTGTTGTCCAGTGAGACTTTTTAATTTTTCTTTTGTAGCATCCGTGAAAACACATTAAGCTGGAATTCTTTTTTCTACCAAGATTTTTATTTTAATTTGAAATATTTAAATTCTGAGCAACTAAAATTATTTCAATTGAAGTAAAAATTTAAAATGAAGGATATGTTTAACCAAAGCCTTTTAATTTCTTTTTTTATTTAACTTTTCAGTAGCATTGAAACAAAAGTTCAAAATGTTTCAAAATTTCTTTTGCAAGCATAAGCTTTGTAGTTTGTAATTCACACATTGTTTGAATGCTAATCGCTGTGCATCAATAAGTGTCAGATGAAAATTGCACCTTGTGAAAGCTGGGAAGTTTTGCTGTGACAGCTGCTGGAGAGTTTTCCCACAAGCAGAATCATGTGCCCAAATCAATAGACCCTTTAAGACCTGCTTGCAGGCAGGCAGTTATTTCACCAACAGGACATTACTTGCAGAGTAAGTCCATTGAATCTTTTGTTCAGTGTTTCTGCAAAATTTGAGTAGGAAATAAATGTATAAGCTTTTCTTGATTATCAAAAGAAATCTTTCTTTAAATTCCTGAAGAAGTGAGGATGGTGGGGGATTATTCTGCCATACAGGTCAGGAAAGATAGTATATGGAGATGGGAGCCTGAATCTTTAATCATGAATTTGAATGAGATTTCAAATTCCCATAATTTTCCTATTTTTTCTTATATACTGCACTTTCAGAACACAGATCTGAGAAGATGAAGTTCTGCCAGTGAAACCGTCCTACTATGTCTGTGTTGAGGCATCGATGCTCGGAAATTTGTAGAAAAAGAATGTGTAAGAGTTCCATTGATAACAATATCATGTTCTCACAGCATGTTTTTTGTTATTTATACAGAATAGCCCAGCCCCTACCTCTCTTCTGCCTCAGAAGTCTCTCTGGCTGAATCTGAAGTAACTGGATAGGCAGGGCCCGTTTTTTTTGCATTTGTGAAGATAAATTTGGTGGTCCCCTTGTTGTACCCTCAGTCTTCCTATCCCATTTACCAAAATTGATGCCACTGAGAGCATAGTTAACTGAGATCTCATTTGGAGCTGAGATCTCCCCATGAAACTTTGGTTTTTGAAGACAATGATAGAAAAGAGGGGAAGGCAGAACTGTCAGTCACAAAGGAGTGTGGAATTAGAAGTAGGATAAGAATGGATTTAGAAAGTAAGAGGCATCAGAAGTCTAAACATGTCATTTTTTAATTATAAATGGTGCAGCCACTTTCTTCTTTGTATTTTCAACAATTCAATAACTATTATTTTGTACTATTGAAACATGATGTTTGAAACTACATGACATATGAGAGAGATTATAACCTATGACACAGTAGTATCTTACTTTTGAGTTCTTTGGACACAGCAGCTTCCATTTTACCTGTAAGATAAAAAAACACATCTGCATAAAAACAGCTAGGAAAGCTTTAGGTAGATAGAAAACTGCAATGTGTGCTTTAGAGGTGAAACAGCTTATTTCCCACAAAGTGAATTTGAATGGTGCAGTAAATCGGTTTACTTCTGTTTGTTTTCTGGTACAGTTTAATTTAACCTTAAGTGTAAATCCAACAACACCTGTGTGAATGTGAAAATTTTTGTTTAATTTCGGTATAGTAATCTGTGAGTTTCAACATGTAATTGAGTTATCATGGTTGACATGTACTAGCTGAGCCATGGCTGCTCATCATGTGTACATTATCAGGCTGCAGAAACACAAGGGAAAAGGCGCTAGAAGCCGAAGTATGTAATGAAAGGAATTATCTTCCTACAATTGTTTGCAACCATACAGTTGAGGCTTAGTTTGGAAGGCTTCACACAACACCTAGCCAAAACTCCAACTGCCACATACTTCCCACAAACCAAAACAAATGGAAGATTTACAGCAAAAGGGAAGAAAGAGAGAATCCAAGCCATTCCTACAGACCAGCCAGGAGGAAAGATCCCTGCTTCTGCAAACTTTTCCCAATGTTCAGTTAAAGTTCAATCTAATGCATTACTTTCAGGCTTGTGAAAAGGAACTCATATCCACCCCTGGTTGATCTAAACAAGGTTAAAATAAATTGGCTATTTCAAATCACAGCATGGTCAGGCAGCTTATCAGAGACACTTAACTAGGCTGTTCAGTCTCATCTTTAGTTAAGGCGACATTTTTGTGCCATTTTTTGTAGGACTTTATCTGATTGCTGAGAGAAAATTAAGGATCTTTACTAAACAGATGTAAGTGGGTAGAAATACTCAGTGATAGCTTCCCTCTCCATTAAAATTCTTGGCGCTATTCCACCTCAGGGCTTTTAGCTGGGTACAAAAATTGTCCATTTTTATAACCATACTTCAGGCCTTGCATGCCTTTTTCAGTGGCCTCATCTGTACTACTAAGAAAGGTTCATGGAGGTCTTGTGGGATAGGAAACAAAGAGACGCATAGACCAGTATCAGAAGTTACTCCCATAGGTGCCCATAAGGAAATGAACATCCTCTCTAATAATCTATAGTGTGCCTAAAATGCAGACGGGATAATGTTTTTACCTACAACATATGTGAATGATAAATTAATTGTGCTCTTAAGCACTAATACAAGAAATACTTCAGGGTAGATGCTGCCAAAATAAGTAGTTTGCAAAACCAATACCATTCCATTACGGGCAATAATATAAAGTTCCTTCAGTTTCTGTTGCTCTCTAAATTGCTGTGAAGAATTTGATATGAGATAAGGTAATGCAAATGACTGCCAAGTAGTCTAATAAAAAGTCTTGAAAAATTCAGAAGAAAATACATTTCTATTTGGATGATATGATGCTCTGAACTGAAATGTTTCTAGGTTAATCCTCTGCTTCCACTAACTCTCTGTGAAAGCATGTTTTGCAGGCATTACTTCAAAGTATGATAATTACCACATTTAGATGAAATTAATCATGAGGCAGCTTTCAGCCACATTATCTGGCTAAGGAGCCTACTGAAGCCTTCAAGAAGTGCCTATTAGGTGCCAGATATGGAAATGTTTAAGTGTGTATATTGCAGTGATATGATCATTTATCACAATAATCTTCTATTGCTGAAGGTTATAAAAAAATAAATAAATTCACAGCATCATTTGCAATAACAGTCTGAATCTAAATAAAGCCCTCAAGTTCTTTCATTTTTTTTTTTCATAGAAGTCATCATTTATTAGGACAACATACTTTAATATATTTTAGAGCCATAATTTATGTTGAAAGTATCAATGTGTTTTTCCATCATATGAAATACACAACATATAGTAAATTCTGAATAAATATCTGGACAATTTTTGCACTAAAAAAAATCTTATCATTTAGGGTGGTTTGGTGCATTTTGTTTTGTTTTGTTTTTAAAGAGCAAAAAATTACCAACAGTTGGTTCCAATAGCACATGTTGATATGAAAATATAAATATTTTTGTGCTTAGGCTATTCCTTTCAAGCCAAGGGCCCTAAAGTTTGATTTCTAAAGCCATACTTAGGCTGTAATGATTTGCAGAAAGGTGCCCAAAGGAGTTTTTGAAGGAGCTTGAACTATGGAGGTTCCTTTGAAGCTATATACCATTTGCATCTAGGCACCTCATATTTGAATGCAACATGTGACAATTGCAAAGAACTGAACAGAAGGATGGAAACTCACAGAAGGAGGGAAAACTGACCTGGATTTCTGAAGTCCCAAAATGTGCTTACCTGCTATACACCACAAATAACACATAACTAAACAACTCAAAGGAAAATAATGCCAAAACTGAATTTAAAATAAATTATATTAGTGTAATTTAAGTCAATGAGCATTTTGTCTCATTCATTTTTGTTTTGTACAGGCCTAGGGTTTAACTTTTAAACTACAAGGGTGGTTGAGAATGCAGTTTATATTACATGGGGTTTTTATAGTCATTACGTCTTAAAACCACCACCACCAAGCTCTCTGACACCTTGGTAGGTCTGTTTTTTTCAGGTTAATTAAGAATTGGAATTCGCAGAAATAATTAACTTTTCAAACACTAATGTTAGGCAACATGTAAACATCCTAATCGCATCTTTGCCAAAGAGTTTGGGAAATAGAATCTCCAGACCTTTAGGCTATTTTTCTCTTTAAAACTTTACATCTGAAGTCTGGCAACAGGGAAGGCAAGTGTTTGACACAAGAATGATGACTACACTTTTTGGAAGCCATGTAACTTCATTAGGACCCATGTAACAGTTGAACATCAGGCTGGGCACTCTAGCAGCCTTAGAGAGTAGTACAGTCAAAAGCACTGTGACTGTCTTTGGTCTTGGTGATAGAACTGTTTGATATTCAACAATAGGAAATGCATTTTCTTTTCAAGAAAAGTCGCACTTCTACAACAATGTAAAACAATAAAAGACCCCTAAAATTTTAGCAGACTTAACACAGGTGATGACTTCAAAATATGATATGTTTGGTAATTTGGTGCCAACCTGAAGTAGTCAATTTTTCAGAAGTTGTTGAGGGCAGGTTTGATATTCAGGTCTTCTTAAAGGGCTTAAACCACCCAAATAATGAACAATCAAAAGTTTCTGGCTATGTATGACAATCTTATCCATGCTGTTGGTTTTGCTTTTAGTTTTGTTTTGGTTTTGTGGTGTTTTTGTGGTTTGGTTTTGTTTTGTTTTGGGTTTTTTTATTATTTTGAAAGCACCTGCAACAGACTTTAAAAGGCAAAGCACCATAGCTTAGAAAATCATTTTTCAGCTGTGGAGGACTGTGAAGCACCCTTTTCTTTTTACAGTTAGTCTCAGGAGATATTTGAGAACAGTTATATTCTGGTCAGTATTCTCAAAAAGCAAAGATGGTTGTACAAGCTCCCCTCTTCCCAGATGAATGAACAGATTTTTCTTTTTCTGACTATTGATGGAAGTAAAACATTTTTTAATTATTTTATTAAACCCACCAAATATTTAAACAAACATGACCTAACTTTGCTCTTATTTCTACAGGCTAAAAGGATCAATTTTGAATTCAAACTAAGAATGAGTATTTGGCAACCAGCACAGATGTATCTCAGTAGAACAGCAAAGTACTTTATTCTCTCACCTCTTTTCAGCACATAGCTCGATCTTTTCCTCAGGCGTCAATCAGCATTCTTTTGAAGTAAACTAGCAATACACAGTAACCGCAAATGACATCTAAACTACACATAGGGCAAGAAAAAAAAATCCCTCTAAGCTTATATAGTGCCTTTCATGCCAGTGAGTCCCTAGGAGGTTGATAATAATCCATTTGATAAGGATGCCCCAGTGCTCTAGTATAGAGTGTGGTTGGTTGAATTTAAACAAACTTCCAAAATGTAGTATTTCAAACATTGCTCTGAAATGAATTCTAGACCTGAAATTCACAAAATTTTTAGACCCTTTTTAGCAACATATTTAGAATGCAGTCTACATTGTACATCTGAGGACAGCAGATCTTCAGCAGCTCCATACAACCTTTTTTTTTAATATTAAAAGAAGTTCATATTGTACTCTCTTGAAAGCCTTCCCTGTATTTTTTCTTCCTAGAAATCACTCAAATATATATAAGCATATAAAAAACTCTTAAATTAGAAGTCTTATTCAGATAAATTAATATTTCAGAGCCAATATACTGATGGCTCTGCTAATGATGAACTGCTCAGCTGCCTAAACCCACTTTTACTGTTGGAAGCATTATTTTTATATGTTGTATCTAAAACAACCTTTCTCTTTGGAAGCTTACCAAAGAATATGATGGTAATACCAAAATTACAAACAAAACTGATTTCCGTTTCAGTTGACAACCACAGTGTCTGAGCTGAAGGGTAGCTAATATTCTAATAAAAAGTTGTGTAAGCTAATAGCTAAGTTTGAGGGTGCTAATGATGCAAGGATTCCTCTGTACTGGCTGATCTGGCCTAAGCAACAGGATCCTAAGAAATTACTAGATGCCTCTGACAGACATGATTCATGGAATCATAAACCAAAGAGAAATTTAAACTGTTAAGCAGTTACTAAATGAGGAATTCTCATCCTAAACCTCAGCTAGCACTGACCATCTATCTTCTCTACCTGTAGCTGATGATCACATACTAGAATGGACTTAATCAAACCCTACTGATTGTCTGATGATCTACATAGACCCATAGAAAAGAACTTGCATGATGAAGATGCCTCACACAATCTGATCATAGCTCTACCAGCTGACTAAAAGAAGAATGTTTCTAAGAAGACTTACACAAATCTTGTGTCATAGTTTGGCTCTTACCATGTATTATGAAGTAGGTTTTCAGTTCTTCTTTTGAATAAAAGTGGGAGAAGGAGAAGAGGGCAGAAAAATGAACAGAAACCAAGAAGCAGAAAGAATTATGTTGAAAGTTGAAATTATGTTTTTCCAGTGTCTTGAAGTCA